TGAATGGAGCACTGGGTGTTATATGCAAACAATGAATCATGGAACACTACATCAAAAACTAATGATGTAATGTATGGTGATTAACATAAAAAAAAGAATAACTTTAAGATTCAATGAAATCCTTATCAAAATACCAATTGTATTTTTCACAGAACTAGAACAAACAATACTAAAATTTGTATGGAACCACAAAAGACCTCAAAATACCCAAACAAATCTTGAGAAAGACAAGCCTGGAGGTATCATAATCCCAGATTTCAAGTTATATTACAAAGCTATAATAATCAAAACAGTGTGGTACTGGCACAAAAAACAGACATATAGATCAATGGAACAGAATAAAGAGCCCAGAAATAAACCCACGCTTATATGGCTAATTAATCTATGACAGAGACAAGAGTATACAATGGGAAAAAGAGAGTCTCCTCAACAAATGGTGTTGGGAAAACTGGACAGCTACATGCAAAAATGAAACTGGACCACTTTCTTATACCATACACAAAAATAAACTCAAAATAGATTAGACCAAAATTGAGTCCTGAAACCACAAAACTCCTAGAAGAAAACATAGGCAGTAATTTCTTGGACATCGGCCTTAGCAACATTTTTCTAAATATGTCTCCTGAGGCAAGGGAAACAAATGCAAAAATAAACTATTGGGACTACATCAAAATAAAAAGCTTCTGCACAGCAAAGGAAACAGTCAACAAACCAAAAGGCAACCTACTGAATAGGAGAAGATATCTGTAAATGATATATCTGATAAGGGGTTAATATCCAAAATACATAGAGAACTTACACAACTCAACACCAAAAATACAAATGATCCAATTAAAATGGGCAGCGGACCTGAGTAAATATTTTTCCAAAGAAGACATACAGATGGCCAACAGATACATGAAAGGATGCTCAACATCACTCATCATCACGGAAATGCAAATCAAAACTACAATGAGATATATCATGTTATACCTGTTAGAATGGCTAGTATCAAAAAGACAAGAACTAACAAGTGTCAGTAAGGATATGGAGAGAGAGGAACCCTCGTGCATTGTTGGTGGGAATGTAAATTGGTGCAGCCACATGGAAAACAGTATGGAGTTTCCTCAAAAAATTAAAAATAGAATTACCATATGACTCAGTAATTCCAGTGCTGGGCATCTACCCAAAGAAAATGAAAACACTAATAATTTGAAAAGATACATGTGATGTGGGAAACAAAGGCAAAAGAAAAATTAAATTTCCTTACTACTTACAACCCATTAACAGGTCCTTGAAACAGGCAGAGTGACATTCCTCTAGGGACTCAACTGCCTTGATGTTAATACTTTGCTAAGGGCAAAAGGCAATCTTAGCCTGACCCCCAGGATCCTCTAAATCTACTTTACATATAAAAATTCTTTTGGAAACTTCCTTTATTTCTACCCCCAAGATACCTGTTGGCAATCATCCCCCAAGCATATGACCCACCAATATACATATGAAGGGTCTCATGACTCAGGTTTTTCCAAACAGTAATAAATGACCTTATCCTAACAAGAGCTAGCCCCTCAAGGTCCTGGAAACCCTGCTTCCAAAATCCTTTAGACTTATGCTCTCCCTAACCCCCTCTCAACCTGAAAGTATATAATCAGCCACTCCTCATGACCCCATTGCAGCTCTCTCTGCCCACGGGTCCTGTCCCCATGCTTTATTAAAACCCTGTTTTGCACCAACGACGTCTCAAGAATTCTTTCCTGGCCATCAGCTTCGAACCTTACCATCCTTCTTACATCATATGCACCCTCGAAGTAATTCCAATAACCAAGATGTAGAAGCAACCTAGGTGTCCACTGATAGGCGAATGGATAAGGAAGGAAGGTGTGTGTAGACACACACACACACACACACACACACACGAATGTATGCAGTCATTAAAAAAAAAAAGATGGGATTATGCCATTTGCAACAACATAGATGGATCCAGAAGGTATTAAGCTAAGTGAAATTAAGTCAGACTGAAAAAGATCAATACCATACAATTTCACTCATATTTGGAATCTACAAAAAAAACAACAAATAATAAACAAACAAAAAGCCGAATCAGACCTTAAATACAGAAAACTGATGTTTGCCAGAGGTGGGGGGGAGGGGATGGGCAAAATGGAAGATATAGGTTTCCAGTTATGGAATGAGTAAGTCACAGGACTAGAGGGCACAGCATAGGAAATATAGTCAATGACATCATAATAGCTTTCTGTGGTGACAGATGGTAGCTACACTTGTGGTGAGCATAGCATAATGTATAAAGAAATTGAATCACTATGTTGTATACCTGAAGCTAATGTACTACTGTGTATCAACTATACTCAAAATAATTTTTAAAATAAATAATAACAATAAAGATTCAGGGGTGCCTGGGTGGCTCAGTGGGTTAGGCGTCTGCCTTCAGCTCAGGTCATGATCTCGGGGTCCTGGGATCGAGCCCCATGGCAGGCTCTCAGCTCAGTGGGGAGTCTGTTTCTCCCCCTCACTCTCCCTCTGTGCTCTCTCTCCCTCTCACAAATAAATAACTAAAATCTTTAAAAAAAAATAAAGATCCAAATGTAAAAAAATTTAAATGCTTAAATTTAACTATAATTATGCTAATAATTTTCACTATTTTTTTTTTTTAAAAGATTTTAGTTATTGGGGCGCCTGGGTGGCTCAGTCATTAAGCATCTGCCTTCAGCTCAGGTCATGATCCCAGGGTCCTGGGATCGAGCCCCGCATCGGGCTCCCCGCTCTGTGGGAAGCCTGCTTCTCCTTCTCCCACTCCCCCGGCTTGTGTTCCCTCTCTCACTGTGTCTCTCTCTGTCAAATAAATAACTAAAATCTTAAAAAAAAAAAAAAAAGATTTTAGTTATTTATTTGTCAGAAAGAGAGAGAGAGCACAAGCAGGGGGAGTGGCAGGCAGAGGGAGAAGCAGACTCCCTGCAGAGCAGGGAGCCCGATGCGGGACTTGATCTCAGGACCCTGGGATCATGACCTGAGCCGAAGGCAGACGCTTAACTGACTGAACAACGGAGGCATCCCAGTTTTCACTAGTTTTAATGTCTTTTTCGATTTTCATTAACATGTGAATAGAATTTTCTTACAATTGAAATAGATATGT